CGTGCCGGCAGCCAAAACATTTCCTTCCCCTCTTTCCTGTAAAATCGTCCGTATTTTTTTATTATTATTATTTTAAATTGTGAAAAATACTCCTTTGAAATGAGAATGGAGATGAAACATTCGCAGAAAGTGCTACCGGGATTAGTCACCAGTTGTAATATCTCTATTTACATGAGTCACGGAGGTTGGCCCCACTGCTCTTAAATTAAACCCCTGCTGGGTTTTCGATTTTTGGGCTGTCCTCAGGAGACCTCTTGCTAACTTTTCTCCGGTTCTGAGCGGAGCTGGCAGCTGCCTCCCAGCACGTGTGCTTACCGAAAACGCCGGCGGGAGCTGCAAGGGCTTTGCCGGGCAGTGAGGCGGCAGCCGGGGCTGGAGGCGATGCTTGGGGGGCAGGAGCTGCCCCCTCTGCCCAAGTGATTTCCCCGTTTGCACCGACGATGGGAAGAGGGAGAGAGGCGGCGGGCACCCAGGGGGTGATGGTGGGGGGATGCGGCTGGGTGATGGCGGGGGCCAAGGCGGTGGCACTGGGCCCCCGGGGGCGGCGGCGCCGACAGAGGTCACTGTTGCCGAAAAACTGCGCGCCCCAGCCGAAAAAGGGAACTCGGCGGGGGAGGCGGCGATGGGGCAGGCCCGGTTTTGAACAGGCGCCGCGCTCCAGCGGCCACGAGGCCACCGATGCCGGTGGCAAAGCCCCGGGGCCATGCCCAGGGTGGCTGATCCAGCGCTGTGGTCCATGGGATGGGCTGGAGAGGCCCTGCCCCACTGCCACATCGGGGACCTCTGAGGGTGCCAACCAACCAAGGTTAAAAGCAAAAAAATAACGGCGAGGAAAGGAAAGGGAAGAATGGCTGGGGCTGGAGGGGGAATGTGCTGCCAGGGGATGTCCCCGGGAGGGAAGGGGTGGGAGGGGGGACCCCTGGGGCTGCTAACCCCATCGCAGAGTCTCTGGGTTCCAGGACAGCCATAGGGTAACGTGAGCAGCGCCCACGCAAGTGTGGTTTGGGATGAATTGGATGGATGTGTTTGCTTCCCATGGCAGGAAAGGGCAGGTCCCGGGTGGCGGGACCCCGGGAGCGGCAGGAGGACACCTCGCTGCTGCCTGTCCTTGCCCAAAGCCCAGGGGAGAGCATGCAAAGGGCTTGCGAGCGCGGCATAAAAATAAAACCCCAGAAAGGTGACTAAGCACTCTGGGTACTGAGGCATGACGCCAGAGGAGCCCGGCCCCCAGCCCCACCACCGCCGGGAGCTGCCGCCCACGGTTACCCAGGCATGGGACCCTGGTGTGGGAGGGAGAGCCCCGGGGTGCTGCTGATGGGTGGCAGAGACCCTCCCTGTCCCATCTCCCCCCATCTCCGTGCCGTGCCCAAGCAGAGCTGCTGCCCTCTGCAAAGCCCCCCCCGAGGGGCCGAGCAGCCCGGCTCCCACCTGCGGGCATACACCAGAGCACAGAGCACACCCCAGGCTGCCCCGAGGAACCCCCCAGGCTGGGGCTTACTCGGGGGCTGGACAGGTCCCCTTGCCCGCGGGGTGCTTGCCCACCCGTGGTGGGGAGCAGCTTTGAGGTGCTGGGCATGGGGCCAGGAGCACGGGCGCTCTGGGACCCACAGTGGGACGAGGCAAAGCCCAAAACCCAACCAGCAGCCAGCGCTCGTGGTTTAAACGTGCAAAAATTTCAAACACCCACCCCGGGCTGAGGGCAGGGAGCCCGGTGCCACGCAGCAGCACGAGGAGCGCGCGGCGTTGCAAAACCTATGGCATTCATCTATTATTTTTTTTTTTTTGCATTTCACAGCCAGCA